TCTGAGCTAGGCCTTTGTGCCTATGACATTGTGGCTATCCTCAGCAGCACAGGTCTCTGCATCGACACTCGTTGCTACCTGGGTCTGTCTAGCGACCGAGAGGTCGAGTACGCGCAGATCCTGTACCAGGCAGCCAAGGAGTTTGCGACAACCTACGAGTTCATGGAGCACCTCACTTGTGGGCCTCGGCCGGTGTGTATTTCTTTTTGTACTTCCTGCTTTGTCTTCCTTATTTCTTCTTTCTCTCTAGTTCCTTCCCCTTTCCAACGACGAGAGTCGCGATCGGCTCCTCAACGTCATCAACTCATCTGATCCCCTCCATTCTGCTAGGACAACTCGTCCCCATTTCTCTTCCGCGGAGGTCAATGGAGATCCTACCCATCCTGGTAGCTTTGTTGGTGCCGTCTATAGCGGAGTCTCCGTTCCTCCCAATGTTGAGCCGACGCGGTGTCGTCAGCAGCGCACCGCCCTCGCTGCAGCTGTTAGCGGTCGTCATCGTGAGCACTCCTTTTCTTTGGATGCCATTCATTCCACCGCCAACACACCGTTACCTTCCCATGCTCCTTTGCCTTCTGGAGCTTCTGAGGGGAGCAATGAGTTCCTTGAGGATCATCCGTTGTCGTCGTCCATCGAGGCTTGCCAGTCTCCTCCTCCTCCGTCTGTCTCACTCCTCTCGGTCACACGTCCTTTGAATGCTGGTGGTTCGCCTGGTATGGCCCGTGTGTCTTCCAATTCTCTGCTCGCTGACTTCCTTCGATCCCGTAAACTTTGAATTTCCTACTATCTCTATTCCCGGTACGACAACGTCAGACGGGACATCAATGTCCCAAGTCAACTTGACCTTGGGATTGTACTCTGCAGAGTCTGCACCCTGGCCACCCTTGGCATGAATATGATTGTGACACTGTTCCCATGCCGTTCCAAGTTCACCTCTCTTTTCATGAACACGCCTCATTGTCTGGGTGATTTTCTGCTCCTGAGCAGCCGCAAGCAGCTCCAGCTTCCTTTGCTGTTTTTCAAGAGTGGTTGCCTTTGCTTCAATCGTACGGAGTTTGCACAACTGTGCGATCGGCAATGGTGATGTCTACTTCAGCATTGGGCAGAGCGAGCATCCTCTCCTGCAAGCGAGCAACGCAAACCTATCAGGTCATAAAACATCAGAGAGAATGGAACATGAGGGCTCATACGCAATTCACTCACATGATGTCTTGGGCTGCCGGGCACCACCACTTCCTCATCCTTGTTGGCCATTTCCTCGTCATCACTCCCATCCTCAGCAGCTATGGAATAATTGCCATCCATCTGTTCGTTGTGGAACAGATACTCATGTTGATGAGGAAACACCCCATTCCAGATTTCCACATCCACCTCATCATCCCTCAGGACGTTGGACAGAGGGGGCAGAGGGGTGGGAGGGGCTCCGCTTTGAATGCATTGACGTCCATAATTTCTTCTCTGTCAGACTCGTCACCATCCACCAAATCCATGTCATCATCCTGAACATGGTCCTTCTTCTTCTCCTTCTTCTCTTTTGCAGCCTTGTTTATGAGACGCAACGACTGCCTCCTGTCCGGTTTGGCATTGATATCCAGGTCCATGAGGGCAGGATTGGGGAAGAACTTGACAAGCCCTGCGTGAAGGTCTGGTGTGGTCGACTCCCTCTTGATCTCTTTTGGACAAAGGATGGGCATTATGAGACGAGTTGGTGAGTGACAAGCTTGCCTGGCCAAGTGTTTTATAGGAGAGAACATATCCCGCATGAATTCCGGGAAATTTCCTTGCTTATTAGCGAAGCGATCCAACACGATTCCATGCTACGTGCCTCCTCACGTGTTGCTTGCCATGCTGCAGAAAGGGTTCAAGCAAATTTAAGGTAAAATTGTTTCAAAATGAAAACGTTGAGATAGAACTCGTCCATGAACTCTGATGAATTTGAGCAGTTCCATCCGCCATTGCACTTAGAATTGAAGACTGGGACGAGCTCGGCAGGACCCTAGATATCAGTCAGACAGATGATTCGACCTTCGCGATTTTGGCTTGTGGGGTGTCGTCATCTTGCAAGGTGTACCAGATCTACTGCTTTATCCAAGGTGAAGGATGTGTTGTTGGAGGAAGGCAAAATTTGTAGTGGCTCGATGCATGCGGATGTCATAGGGAGCAAACCCAAATTATATGATACAACAGGTTTGAAATTGACTTTAAATTGAGCAATGTGATAACCTACAGTTGGAAGGTTAGATTTGTGAAGATCTGATTTTGAGAATGGTGAATGAAGTACCTCCAAAGGGACCCACTGAAGATCCATCACAAAACAGAACAAAGTTGTATAACCCAAAGGGATAGTCGATGCACGGCGGTGTAGCCGTGACTGTTACGGGTTCTTCCCAGAACCTGTGGAAAGGAGGTTGCAGCTGCATCTGCACACTGTACCAAATGTCTAGAGCACTAAAGCACAATCAAGTTGTCTGGTCTCATACAGAATTGAAATAGTCAACTATGGTGTTTTGAAGACTAGGTAGATTGAATATGTTCGCTGCATCATCAATCGCAATGTTGTGCTGAGATATGGTTGAAGTCAAAATGAAAACTGTTGTGTCATTACGAGGATGTGTGTCATCTTCAAAGTGATTTTTGGTGGATTTGGGTAGGAACTTGGCTGCAAACAACCGCAAATGTTCCAATTGTTCAGCTTTTGAAAGCAATGCAACACCATTTGCATTGCCTATTTCAACACCACCTTTCTTGACATCAAGCTTGAGAGCCACCCATCCTTGATACAATTCGAAAAAATGAACTTTCTCCACTCAATCAAGATAGCAACACATCTGTCCCGTGACATTGTGCTTGTTGCTTGCACAGTACTGTCAGCGACGTAAGAGAGCTGATTATCTAACCAGAGATATCAACCTTGAGGTCACGGCAAAATCACAAAATAGAGGGAAGCGCACAGCTAAGAATTCAGATAACTCTCCTACGGAGAGTAGACAAGATCAAAACTAAAGTACATGAGCTACTCTACGCTCTCTTTCATACACAAGAGATAATGCATGAGTTGTGCAGCATAGTCATATGGTACAAGAAGAAAACATAAAGTGCAAGAGCATAGATTGTGAAAGATCGTAAGAGTCGTGAGGGCATGACAGGTTGTGGAAAAGTGTGAAAGTATGAACCTTAGGAAAGGCTATGGAAACGTAATGGAAAGGCTATCAGTAATGACCGAATGAATGAAACCTTAGGAAAGGACATGGAAAGGTTATTGGACGAAATAGTAAGGAACGGTATGGAATGAGTCATGACATGGGAGGAAAACTAATAATAACATAACCATGAGAGAAAAGGAATGGAGAGTGAATGCTTGTGAACAAATGTGATGTCATAAGGGATAAAAATTACGAATACCGAGTTTATGAGGTTTCGTTATTTTGTTGGGTGGCAAAATCAGTTGCAGTGGCAATGCAAATGCTGTGTTTGTCACGCATAACACATTAGAAAAGTCACTGTCACAATTACAAAAATCTCTAATGTGTCACTGTCACAATGTGCATCCCAGCTCCTTATTCCTAATGAAGGCATAGCCCCAGGATAGCCACTGTGACTGTGACATTGCCAGAACGCAAACCCAGCCCTTTATGCTAGCCTCACTCAACACCACAGCACATTTCACCACAAATTATGACATGTAAAAAATCTCTAGAACATTGGCTATCCATAGGTCAAACAACCTTGAAATTTGGCCAGATGGATGGCAAGATATGGTGATGGAAAGTCGTTCCACTCAGCTGTTTTTGCACTTTCTCAGAATTGTCTAGCTAATAACATTTAAACTTGAACACTTTGACCACAAATTTTTGTACCATCAGGACGGCACCATCAGTGGGTACAGAACGGTGTAGTTTGTGTTGCAAGAGGTGCTCATTTGAATATGTTATGGATTTGTTTTGTGTTTATTTTGCTGAACATGCGCTCTGGTGCACCCATTGAACCGTGGGAAGTTCATTTCCACATTGGGAACAGCTGCACATACGTGAACAACAATGGCTTATATCTTGCCACAGAGGCCATGGAATGTCATGAAATTTTGTACAGGGGTACATACCATGTATATAAACGTAAATATGAAGTTTTGCCAAATACAGGCAAGATTTGGTATTGTTATAAAGGAAACAATGTGAATATGCTAATGGTTTCAGTGCAACCAACTTTAGATGTGTTGTAGAAAGTAAGATTGATACTTGGAGTGCACAGAGCTTGTTTGTTTATGTTTGGGAATGTATATCAAAGCTTGTATTAATGTTACTTGAGACATACACCTTTGGCCTAAGCGACAAAGGGATTCTTACACTAATTGTCTTATTTTGTTTGTTTGCTGGATCATTTCTTGTGATTATGTGACAGAGTAAATGGTACAGATAGATGTAAATAATGTTCATATACTGAGGTATGCTCCTATAAATTTTTACTTCATTTGGACGTCAAATAAACAAGAAATGGATCATTTGTCCTCTTTCTTTACATCAAAAATAATAGGTTTCCAGATTAGGTAAGCGTGGCTGTGCCAAATGACGTTGAGAAGTTGAGAATTTCCAACTCCTCAACATCATAGGTGGCTGTGTACTACTTTTTCAGCTGGAAACCTCATGATTTGTTTGATTTTCAGCCACTTTCCTCCTTTCTTTGTGTTAATTAAATGGGTTTCCATATTAGGAATGTGTGGCTGTGCCCTATGACATTGTAGAGTTGAGCTAGCTCAACTGTTGAACGTCATAAGTGGCTGTGTATCATCTATATCTGGAACTATATGCAATTTATTCTATTTTTTGGCATTTGCTACCTTTCTTTTTGTTTATTGAACTATTTTCCGTATTAGGAAGGTGTGGCTGTGCTATGACGTTGAACGTTTGTGTTCCCTCGAACGTTCAACGTCATAGCACAGCCACATCTTCCTAATTTGGAAGCAGTCGCCTATTTTCGAGTTTTAGCTATAAAAATGAATAAAATACTTACCAGTGTAGGATTTGAACCTTTGACCTCTTGCAAAATCCATACACCTTAACCAACTGAGCTATCTGACAATTGCACACAAAAGTTTTACATTGAAGACCCTGACGAAATGAAAAAACATGTATACTCTACAAGTTGTAGTGAATTTTAAAGGTGCACAATTTGTGTCAAGAATGATAGACCCAAAGTACAATGTCTGGTACAATGATGGAATCACTAGTCAAGGAGAGTACATCAGAGCAAAGAATCTCAGAGAATTCGCAACTGCAAAATGCATCATCTGAATATCCATCCATGGAATGGTGTACAACTTATCTTAGGTAGTATACAGAAAGAATTAGACTGCTAAAAATAGGTGGATGCTACATCAAGTCATTTATCTTTCATTGGAATGAAATGATGTATTGCATGGCATATATTAAATTTGATTTGAACAACTAAAAGAACTAAAAACAGACAGCAAAGGGTTTCACCCAACCGGTATTCGTACACTGCCAGGCAGAGCCATGGCCCACAAGGCTAGGTAGAACAAAAAGAAAAATGAGTTGTTTGCATATCCGTGCAAGAAAACTGGAGTTCCGGGCGGATTGGAGAATCCGTGAATCTTATCTTCACTTCAACCATGTTGCTGTCGCCTGTCCACATCTTCCTTCTTACGCTTGCTCCTGCAATTGGTCTGATTGCCTGGGCCTCAGTGCAAGTCTGGATCTGACAAAACCAGGCGGTGAATCTTAATAGGTGCCAGTCAACGGATATTCCTCTGAGCATGTTGCAGAGTGCTGAAGTAAGTTGACCTAAAATGATAAAAAAGGAATTGGATCCTGACATTCATCTTCTTGTTGCTGTCAGTGTTCTCTGGTACATGTGTGTGTGTGTGTGTGTGTGTGTGTGCTGTCCGCCTTGATGGTTTCACGAGGCTTTTTTTGCTCTCTCTTCTGCACTTTTGGTACCAACACATCCTCATATCCTTGAGGCTAGTTACATGTTAGTTCAAAGCGGCCTTGAGAGGGATGCTGACATTTGCCCTGAAACTTACCGATTGATCTCTGTCACCAGACATGGACTTTGCCTTCTTCTTCTTCTTCTTCTCTTCCTCTTTATCTTGAGGCAAGTGACGCTGGAAAGGCATGCATTCATTTTGTCAGTAAACATGGTTGGGAAGTACTCACCACCTGATTGCCGCTGTTAGATTCATGAGATGTCTTCTGCTTCTTCTTCACACCTGCCCTATCTTGGAGAAGGCAGCGTTTTTTGGGGACAGTCTGTGAAGACTGCGACTGGGCAGCTCTGAGTGAAGGGACTGGCGCTGTCATGTGCCGTACACGGCACACACCTGGACAGCAACAGCAGAGCCTACTTTGCGCACAGTACTTCACCATCAGGTCATTGCTCCAACAGCTTACCTCACACACAACTCTGAGTTATTACGCAATCACACCGATTTCACACCCACACAAATGACTGATTAACACTGTATCCTATTGTGTGTTTCCAAACCAAATCCCACCAATAAACAATCTACGTTACAAATACAATGCTATACACTACTCCATTGTTTTTCACTGCTCAAAGGAGTGACGAGCAGTTCAAAGCATAAATAAAGAAATCCAAACACATTATCTACGAGCATGACAGAAGGAGCAACTAGATACAAGGAACAGGAGTTAGTCCATTAGCCAGGATGTCCTTGACAACGGCCCCCTGTGCAGCAAGGAGTCCTACAAGAAACAAGTTAGGAACAAACAGGGAAAGCACGACTGAGCATAGAACTTACCATGGTCCTCATCCATCCCTGGAACCCACTGCTGCTCAAGCCCAGATACACAGCAAGAGCTGCTGCCAGTGAAGGACTCTGGTGGGTAACACCCCTTTGAGTCCTCATACATCACCATCAGATCAACGGTGACAGTGCACACACTGAGAAGCATTGTGTCACGATCTGATCTAGGTTCCGGGCCTCGCGACTCGCACACGCTCCTCGCGCGACCATGACATCACGCCACGCGACACGCATCCGTCACACGACGCCCTCGCGCGCCTCTCTGTCCCGACATTCCTCCGCGACGCGTCATCCTCACGTGCCAGCTCACGCGACGCTCCTCGAACGGTCCGCACGTCCCGCGACTCGCGCCACGCCTAGCCTCCAGCGATCGGCCTCGCCACACAAGTCTTCGCCACACGACCACGCACGCGTCATCCCTTCGCGTATCGCGACGTC